CTCCTTAGCTTAGCCAACTGCATCTTGATATCCGCTTCGGTTTTGTTGAATGAACATTAGAAAAAACTCATTTCGTTGAAAACATTGTCTACGGATTTCTGCTTTTAGTGAAAAGCAGGTGTTTAACGGATGTAAAACATTATTTCATCTCCACCACAGTCCGTTACTGCCTTTGGGTTACGGATGCATCAGACTTCAAGATGTCTTCCAGTCCTCGCCACTCGGACCAGCTCTAATGATCTGCAGGTTCTCAATACCTTCGAGCCGTCGTGTGCATAACTGCTCCCCAGATGACTAGAAACTGTGTACATTCAAACCACCTCATCTGGCATTTGGTTATGCAAGAAGCCCTTAAATTGCAACTCTTGTGTTAGTTAATGGTTGAAGGCACTCCACAGAGCAGATGGTGAAACTTTAGGCAATAAAATTCTGTTGATACGCGTAGAAGTAGTGCATTGCGCAATTATTGGCGTAATTGACCATAATTGTGACGGAAGCGGTCACATGCTGCGAGTGTTAGCCCAACGTGCTTTGTGGCTACTGGATGAAGGGACGTCATTCCTGACCGTTGTTGTGCCTGTACCAAGATTGACGGCGAGGTTAGACAAACGTCATGTCTTGATCCTCGATGTAAAATGCCGTGGCCAAGTGCTAGGGCGTATATTCCTTATCCACTATCGTAAGGAATGTCAACAGTCAGTAATGAGATGTCAACAATCAACGGTTAGTAATGAGATGAATCTATTAAACCTGTCAACCGTCAGTGATGAAATGCTACCAAACATGTGCAATAGATGTTGTCGGACTGCCGACCGCTAGTGAAGGAGCAGAGGCCACGATTCATACTTATTTCCCAAAAGAACACAATGGAGTCATGCCCTATCCTCAAGACAACAGAACTCTTGTTCAAAAATGACATGAAGAATTGACCACCCATGCTGTCGTGACATGGTCAGCTAGGCCGTACCGTTTCATGCCATCATATAGTCATTGTTCCTATGAACTACGTCCGGGA